TTCTCTCTCCTTCATTTTCTTTAAATTAAATATATTATTAATGTTAAAAGCCTCTAAATCTCGAAAACCCAAACCTCTCATGAATTTGAACCTACATAAAATATCCCACCAAAGTCAATAAATCTTCCTCTTATTCAAATTATCCCCCCTCCGGAAGTTGCTAACAATTATGTTCGATCAGCTCTTGCAAAGTTGTCTGAGGTCAGAGTAAGAATCCTGCCTGATGGCCCTGATGCCCAATGCCTGTTTCACTTTCGGTTAAGTTGAACTTCCCTTAACATTTTTTTTAATATGGATTTTTCAATTTGTGCTCTTAAGACAAAGATCAATAATATATTAATTATATTTTTCATTACTTTTTTTATTTCAAAACAATCGGCATTTTTTTATTCATAATTTGTTTCAAAATAATATACTCATTATTTCATATTTTAAAGAAGACAATTATTTTTTTTATTTTAACCTTATTATTTTTTAATTTTAATTATTCATCATATCATAAAATATATTTTTTATTTTTATTTCTTTTATAAAGTAATATAAGAAATTATCTCTAAATCATTAATTTATAATAAAAGTACAAAACCTCTATTCTTCTAGAATGGGATGGAGTAATTATTACAAAAAAATAAAAATTAATTTTAAAAATTATTGATCTCCCAACAAAAGTCATCCACATGTCATTGATCCTTTATACAAATTAATAGAAAAAAAAATGCAATTAATAAGCCACCAAAGGTATAGGGTAGAAAAATCATTTTTTTTAATGAAAAAACCCTTTTAATATATATGAACAGAAATATCTATATATATATATTTTTATCTTGATTGTATAATGTTATTTCTCATCCTTTATTCTATCCTATTCATATACCATGTGACTCAAATTTAAAACTTTTTACTTTTAATGAAAGGAAATTACCACTGAATTATTTAAGTTGTTAACAAAAATATTTTGTTTTTCACCATAAACAGCATACAGTCCAGGTTGCGAAGGTATTTAAATACTATTATCAACTAAGATTCATTAAGGGAATTTTATTAAGTATGTTTTGCTAAGAAGTAGTCTAGATAAGGACTCCAACTTTAGGAAGTGTATTAATTAAGGCTTCAAACTTTTTTTATTCCTAATCAAGGATCTCAATAGTGTTCTTATTCAAATAAAAAAAA